GTGTGTCTCCGCTGGGGGCTGGCGGCGCCGTGCGAGGGCAGGCCGGGCTGTCAGCTCTCGGGTGGTCGGTGTCGTCCCGCAGGCCCGCCACCCGCCCTTCAGGATGTCGTACATGTTGCCGCACTTGCACAACGGCTGGCAGGTGGACCAGGCCATCCTCTCGGAAGAGGACCGAGTCGTGGTCATCCGCTTTGGGCACGACTGGGACCCGACCTGCATGAAAATGGATGAAGTCTTATACAGCATTGCTGAGAAGGTACACTGGAGCTGTAACGTGAGACGGTCGCTTTCTGCGCTCAGTGTTTCAAATGGCGTATACGAAGCCTGAGGCAGGTTATAACTCGGTTTCTGGAGAAGTATTCCTGGTCTAGGAGGCAGCGAGAAAGCTGGCTGGTTTGCTTTCGTGAGTGCCTCCTAAAGTCATCGACTGTCCTGATGTTTGTGGTGTTTAATGGGGTGAAAAGAGTGTTGCGAGTTCTGAAATCAGAATCGTTGCCTGTTAATAATCCATCGTTTAATGAACATCAGCGTTCAAGCAGAAACAAGTGCTTGGTGGTAGGACTGCTGTGGCTCTAGGTAATGCAGCGCTGTCACAGAATGTCACATCAGAATGTAGAGTAGCTTCCGATTTCCATTTGAATAACTTGTAAAGTTACTTTCATTTTGACTCTTAAAAATGGTAAGATCCTAAAATGTACAGGACGGTGTTGATTAATATATCAGTAATATTCCTCGTGGAGACAGATGACATTCCATTGAATTGCATGGCCTGAATTAAATTTTAGGAGCCAAGCTCTGAAGCTGTTTTCAGATGGAAACTCAATGCCTGCTGACAGCTGGTCACTCACTTAATAAAGATAGATTCTGAAGAAAAAATAGACTGTTAACATATGCAATCACCTATAATTTATCTTTTCATGTATTTGGTAAAGGTTTTGTGTAGTGATAGATGTAGAAAATTGACAGCTCTTCTTTAAATGAGCCACATAGAAAATGAAGCAAAAAAATCTGATCCAGAAATGGTAACTTGGGTAGGAACAGGAGTCGGTTATCTTCATGTAAAATTGTGTGCATACTGCATAACTTAATACAGAGTTCTTTTCTTGGTGTACTCCTTTCTCTTTTAATGTTATCTTAAACCAAATGAACTTCTGTCTCTAAAATCCCTACAATGAAAGATCTATACCTATAGCCAAATATTGAGACGTAATGGAATACAGTAAGGAATTGTGACATGGTTTAACTTAGTAATTTTGTGTTTAAGGTGGTGGGACTGTTATGCTCAGATACTGTTAGTATCAACTTTTGGCAGGATGCTTGGCAATTTGGCAGACGTATTGGCAGTTAATGGTGACTGGGGAAAGAAAGAACAATGTAACTTCTTACTTAAAAATCTCCCTCTGCAGAAATGGCAGATTAAAGGGGGAGATCCTTCCTCATCCTCTTGCTTACAAGCCATGTTTGGATCTCTGCTGTTTTAAAGAGTGAGTAAAAGTTCAAATTGTACAGGTGTTTATACTAGAGAGTAATACAGAATGTTAACATGCTGTAATTGCATGCTACATTTGAAGAAAATGTAGCCATATTTTACATTTGATACCATGGTGCAATATTATTTTAGTCTGCAGCGTATTTTTGGGTAGCAGTAGTATTCATCTGTACTTTATAATAGGAAAACAGGATTTTTTCGGTTTGAATCTTTTGGGGGAAAAAGAAACTAGAACACTATATGAAAATACAAAGCAGATTATTTTCACTGAAATGTACTCCACTTACAGTTGACTGGTTTTTCTCCCCAGTGTTACATGAAAAAGCAGCCATTTCAAAACAAATGATGATTGTAAGATGTTAGATTTTTGCTTTGTCAGGGTTTCAACCAAACATCTAAGAATTGAGTTTCATAAAATTCCTCTGGAACACCTTTTTTAAAAATAGACTTGTTTTGTTTTGTTTTTTTTTTTTTAAAGGAGGTTCACAATTATAAAAACCCATCCCCTGAAATGCAGGGCTTTGGCTGCTAAATTACTTTAATACCCCTTTTTTAAGAAATATTTTAAAACCATTATTTGTCTGAGACTGAATACTGTAAATCAGATAACCTCTTGTGAAACCAGGTCACTTTAACCAATAGGTTGTATTGGGTCAATGTGGGTTTAGGGACGATTGTTCAAATGTTTTGCATTTATTTAACCGTAATCAGAAGTGTGAATAGCTGTGGCTTTTGCTCAAAGGTTAGCTGTACCTCTGCCTTTCTGTTAAGGTTACATGAAAAGTGAGAGAAGAAAAGAAAGGGGGGGGGGGGCGGGGTAAGAAGGAGCTATAAAAAAACCATACTGGTATTGTAGTTACTGGTGTTTGTAATTAAAGTTGAGCAAAGCTAATCCATGTCTATAGTTTTCAGAATTGTTGGCTGTAAGTATTGCTATGAGCAGTATAATGTTTTTCTCTTTTCTCCTATAAATTTATCACCTAAGCTTACAGCACAATTAGCAAGAAAAAAAATTCAAATAAGTATTGACAGTACAGACTCTGAAGTTTGTACTTACTGTGTTTGCAGCCTCTTTCAGTTCAGTAATGCAAGTCTGCTAGCTGCCTTCAACTTGAATGATTTGTTGCAAAAGCTCCTCTCAGTTCCTGTATTTTTTTTTTCCTGTGATTTCCTTGTCCATAAAGACATCTAAACATAAAAAACATTGTCTAGAAACTGGTTAGGAAGATGAGAAGATGGAATCTGAGATCTTGTCTCAGATTTCCTTAGGTATTTGCTGTATGGACTTTGGGCCATAAGGTAATGTGTGGCTGTGAGATTTGCTTCTTAAAGGGAGCTGAAATCTTAACAAAAAAAAAGAAGAGTATTACTTACCCCTAACAGAAATTTAAAGAAAC